GGCAAATTTGTAATTCAGTTTAGACCCACTTCTAACGCTACGATCTCCAAATTAAAGATTGAATCGTTTCCGAACACAAAGCAAGAATATTTAGTTCCCAAGCACGGCAAGTTGAACGTCAGTTTACTAAAACAATAATATTTGTCTTATGATTGTAACATTTTTAAATCAAAGATATCCGTAGAGACTAGCCTAAATTATTAAATTATTTTCTATCAAAGTTTTGAACAAAACATAGATATGTAACTAAAAAGAGTAATTTTCTTTTTAGTTTTTTGAATTAGTAGTGTATTTTTATAGATTTAAAGAAAATCATTTATTTTCTACTTTTAGTGCATTATTACATAAAAGCTTGTTATTTAAAACGTTTTTTATGAATTTTTTTTCAGTACTTTAGAATTTTAAATTTTTTTTAGGTTTAGATCAATCCCAAATGATGTAATTCGGCAGTTGCATGTAATGAATAAGGATTTTCATAGAATCAATATATGGCTATAAAGTAATAAATATAGAAAGCCAACTTACACAAAAAATTATGAATATAAAAGAAACACTGTGGTCCATGCTTGCACCTCATGAGTCAGAGGGTGGGGACAGGTGGAGGGGTGGTTTATGAAGACATGTGGGGGAGGGGGGGAATCACCAGCAGAGGCAAGCTGGATTGTGAGACGTGTTTGACAGTTACAAGCACAAAGTTGTGGGGGTCGATTGTTAGGATTCATGGCAGGCTGACGGGGTGTGTGTTGGGGGGGGGGGGTCTTAAGTTGGGGTGGGGGTGAGGTGCTTAAAGTAGACTGGTGGGGTGTTGGGGCGGGGAGGTTCTTATGGTAGGCTGGTGGGGCATGAGGGGGGGGGAGGTTCTTAAGGTAGGCTTTAGAGGTGTGGGGGAGGTTCTTAAGGTAGGCTTTAGAGGTGTGAGGGGAGGTTCTTAAGGTAGGCTTTAGAGGTGTGGGGGAGGTTCTTAAGGTAGGCTTTAGAGGTGTGAGGGGAGGTTCTTAAGGTAGGCTTTAGATGTGTGGGGGAGGTTCTTAAGGTAGGCTTTAGATGTGTGGGGGAGGTTCTTAAGGTAGGCTTTAGAGGTGTGGGGGAGGTTCTTAAGGTAGGCTTTAGAGGTGTGAGGGAGGTTCTTAAGGTACGTTGGCAGGGTGAGTGGAGGTTCTTAAGGAAGGTTGTAGGGGTATGAGGGGGCGGGGGGTTCTTTAGGAAAGTTGGCGGGGTGAGTGGAGGTTCTTAAGGTAGACTTTAGAGGTGTGTGGAGGCTCTTAAGGTAGGCTTTAGAGGTGTGGGGGAGGTTCTTAAGGTAGGCTTTAGGGGTGTGGGGGAGGTTCTTAGTGTAGGCTTTAGAGGTGTGGGGGAGGTTCTTACAGTGTTTCTTCCAGACTTTTTTCTCCGGGGGGCACTTGAAATCTTCGGGGGGGGCGGTAAACTTTCTTCGGGGGGGGGCGGACACTGTTAAAAGTATATATTTTCTATATAAATTATATAAATTTCATATCGTTCGGGGGGGGGGGGGCGGTAAAAAATTTTCGGGGGGCTTTGCCCCCCCCCCCCCCCCGAAGAGATGCCTGGAAGAAACTCTGGGTTCTTAGTGTAGGCTTTAGAGGTGTGGGGGAGGTTCTTAGTGTAGGCTTTAGGGGTGTGGGGGAGGTTCTTAGTGTAGGCTTTAGAGGTGTGGGGGAGGTTCTTAAGGTAGGCCGAAGGGGTGTGGGGGAGGTTCTTAAGGTAGGCTGTAGGGGTGTGGGGGAGGTTCTTAGTGTAGGCTTTAGGGGTGTGGGGGAGGTTCTTAGTGTAGGCTTTAGGGGTGTGGGGGAGGTTCTTAGTGTAGGCTTTAGGGGTGTGGGGGAGGTTCTTAGTGTAGGCTTTAGGGGTGTGGGGGAGGTTCTTAGTGTAGGCTTTAGAGGTGTGGGGGAGGTTCTTAAGGTAGGCCGAAGGGGTGTGGGGGAGGTTCTTAAGGTAGGCTGTAGGGGTGTGGGGGAGGTTCTTAGTGTAGGCTTTAGAGGTGTGGGGGAGGTTCTTAAGGTAGGCTGTAGGGGTGTGGGGGAGGTTCTTAAGGTAGGCTGTAGGGGTGTGGGGGAGGTTCTTAAGGTAGGCTTTAGAGGTGTGGGGGAGGTTCTTAAGGTAGGCTTTAGAGGTGTGGGGGAGGTTCTTAAGGTAAGCTGTAGGGGTGTGGGGTAAAGGGATTCTGAAGGTAAGCTGAGTTGATGTGGGAAGTGGGGGAAGGTTCTTAAGTTAGGCTGTAGGGATTTAGGGGGGGGTACTTAAAGAAGGCCGTTGGTGTGGGGGATGCCCTTAAAACAAGCTGACGGGACGTGGGGAAATGTTCTTAGTGTGGCGGAGTGTGTGTGGAGATGGTACATGTTTTTAACGTGTGTGTGTGGAGATGGTACATGTTTTTAACGTGTGTGTGTGTGTGTGGAGATGGTACATGTTTTTAACGTGTGTGTGTGTGTGGAGATGGTAGATGTTTTTAACGTGTTTGTGTGGAGATGGTAGATGTTTTTAACATGTGTGTGTGTGGAGTGGGGGAAGGTTCTTAAGTTAGGCTGTAGGGATTTAGGGGGGGGGGGTACTTAAAGAAGGCCGTTGGTGTGGGGGATGCACTTAAAATAAGCTGACGGGACGTGGGGAAATGTTCTTAGTGTGGCGGAGTGTGTGTGGAGATGGTACATGTTTTTAACGTGTGTGTGTGGAGATGGTACATGTTTTAACGTGTGTGTGTGTGTGTGTGTGTGGAGATGGTACATGTTTTTAATGTGTGTGTGTGTGTGGAGATGGTAGATGTTTTTAACATGTTTGTGTGGAGATGGTAGATGTTTTTTAACATGTGAGTGTGTGGAGATGGTAGATGTTTTTAACGTGTGTGTGGGGGTGGTGGTAGAAGTTTTTAACGTGTGTGTGGAGATGGTAGATGTTTTAACGTGTGTGTGGGGGGTGGTAGATGTTTTTAACGTGTGTGTGGGGGTGGTGGTAGATGTTTTTAACGTGTGTGTGGGGAGGGGTGGTAGATGTTTTAACGTGTGTGTGGGGGGATGGTAGATGTTTTTAATGTGTGTGTGGGGGTGGTAGAGGTTTTTAACGTAAGCTAAAGATGTGGGGTGTGTGCTGCCGATATAAAATCATCAAATTCTTATCCCTTGAAAAACCGGAAATAGCGTAAAGTAGTACTTCCGGTCACCGGAAATGACTCTGAAATCTTACACTTATGTATGAAATCTCGTCTACCTAACTGGAACAGTATTCAAGTTATTTTGTTCCGGTCACCATCAGAAGTTCTAAAGTTGGAAGAGACCTGCTCATACGATCTTGTACTTACACGTAAAATTTCGTCCAACTTAAGCGTCATTCGAGTTGTATATTTTTAGAAATCGGAATTGAATAAAATACCGCTTCCGTTTACTGGAAATAGTCCAAGGTTTGATAGAAAACTACAAAATTAATATAATAGTTATATCTCAAATTTCGTCAACCTAATAAAAGCAGTACTTAGAGCTACAGAGCGACAGCCAGCCAGAAAAACAGACAACCAGATACACAGAGCGACAGACAGACAGACAGACGAACGGACAAACAGACTGACGGACGGACGGGCGGACTGACTGACGGAATATTCATACGGATCTATTGGCAATGTGTTTTTACAAACTTTTTTTTCTGAAATTAAAATAAAATGTATAATACAATATTTTATTTATATTAAATTAAATTGGCATTTAAAACGAGTATTGTTGGTAAATGCCTTAATGAAAAGAAACTCGTCACTGGTCATTTGAAGAACGTTGCTCTGACACTCGGAAATTAAAGAACGTTGTTCTGACACACGGAACTTAAAGAACGTTGTTCTGACACTCGGAAATTAAAGAACATTGTTCTGACATTCGGAAATTAAAGAACGTTGCTCTGACACTCGGAAATTAAAGAACGTTGTTCTGACATTCGGAAATTAAAGAACGTTGCTCTGACACTCGGATATTAAAGAACGTTGTTCTGACATTCGGAAATTAAAGAACGTGGCTCTGACACTCGGAAATTAAAGAACGTTGCTAAAACAAGGTTGACATCAGGTCACATTAACTACTTTAAACGTTTAAATTTTCAAATTGCCTTTCAGGACGTAATCTATTTTGTTCCGATTGGTATTATTTTTTTCGTATTGGTATATTTTTTTTCTGATTGGTGTATATTTTTTTTATTGGTAGGCCGATATTTTTTCTGATTGGTATAGTTTTTATGATTGATATATTTTGCCTTCTTAAAACTAATTGTCCTGAAAATGTGTGGGAAACACGTTAAACAGAAACAAAGCTTGTTCGATGTCCAGTGTTTGATAATGGAGAACATCCGTTCTATGCCTGATGGTCATATAATAAAACTATGTATGAAATGGGCGTATGTTAAAAATATAAGCAAAATGGTCATATGATAGAAATGTGATCATAATGTTCGTATCATAACACTATGTAAAAATGATCGTATGATAAAATATAATCAAATGTTGAACGTATGAAAAAAGTATGTATAAAAATATGCCGTGCAAGAAACTGAACAGCGATATATGTGGCTGGTCATTGAATAATTTCCCTTAACTCTATTTTGTGCAAAACTTGTAAGGAGTTGCAGGCCTTGAGACTTGGGGGCGGTGCTTGCAGCTTTGACTGATTTAATAGTGTCACCTGGGATGTGTATGCACCACGAACGTCGTGGTTTCATTCCAAATGCGCAGACAAGATCAATAGTTGAACAAAGGATCTTTTATGGCGGCACAGGTGAGTTTAAGTACTCCCCCCCCCCACCTTCTTTTTCATAGATTACTCGACCCCTCCCCGACCAGACGAAAATCTCCTATCACCAAATAAGTTGCTTGATTAAATGAGCCGATGAAAAAAAGTTGGATATGGATCTATATCTCGATGGTGTTATCACCTCCCCCTTGCTTCTAACGTCGTGATAGGCGGGCGTGTACAGCCATGTTACATCTGGTCGCCTCCCCTTGGTCTGCATTCAACCATAAGGGCTCTCAGGGGGAGCTCATCCAGGGCTCTCAATGGGAGCTCATCCCTCCATCGTCTCATGGACACGTGGCTAGGTGGCTCAAAGATCATACAAGTAAGTTGCCCGTAGAGTTATCGTTAAGTTGGATAGTTATCATCTAGTTGCCCGTAGAGTTATCGTTAAGTTGGGTAGTTATCATCTAGTTGTCCGTAGGGTTATCATAAAGTTGCCCGTAGAGTTATCATCTAGTTGTCCGTAGAGTTATCATCTAGTTGTCCGTAGAGTTATCATCTAGTTGTCCGTAGAGTTATCATAAAGTTGCCCATAGAGTTATCATAAAGTTGCGCGTAGAGTTATCATAAAGTTGCGCGTAGAGTTATCATAAAGTTGCCCGTAGAGTTATCATAAAGTTGCCTGTAGAGTTTACATAAAGTTGCCCGTAGGGTTATCATAAAGTTGCCCGTAGAGTTATCATAAAGTTGCGCGTAGAGTTATCATAAAGTTGCCCGTAGAGTTATCATAAAGTTGCCTGTAGAGTTTACATAAAGTTGCCCGTAGGGTTATCATAAAGTTGTCCGTAGAGTTTACATAAAGTTGCCCGAAGAGTAATTGTAGAAGTTTCTCTTTCGAAACATTAAAATAATATTTAACAAGTAAAAACTATGTTGTTTTATAATTTGGCGACCACATAATCTTTTCCTGCTTACTAGCACAGATGTCACGTGTCTGTCCACAATTTTTTAGTTTAAGGAGATTGCGTTTCGACTGAAAAAGTTAAAAAGCCAGTATTTTTTAATACCAAGCTAGAGTACCAAACCATTGCTAAAACCACATTACACACTATCCGACTCACATTAATAAACCAATTATTAAGTAATTTCATCATGCTTTTCAACTTATTTATTTAAACATGAAATAAAAAACAAAATTACTAATGCTACATCTACACACACACACACACATATATATATATATATATATATATATATATATATATATATATATATATATATATATATATATATATATATATATATATATATATATATATATTCGATTTGGAAAAGTATTATAATTAACTCCACAGTCAACATTTTAGTATGTAGTGAAGTATTATTTATATGTAAACAATTGTTATGTAATTATTCACGGTTGTAATATAAGTGTAAGATTGCTAAAGGAAGAAGTTAAGTATGCAAATTTGGGATCTGAAGAAATATGTAGGGGGCTCTAATGGGCGCCATAAAACTTGGTTGAGTTCGGCAATGCTTAGGATACCATTTCAACCAACATAAACTTTAGAACACATGAACAATTCACATTAACCTATTTCTAATGTTATGTCTTACTCAGCTTGGCTTCGAATTTGAAAGAAATTGTTGGACATTCACAAAAACTAATTTAATTACTTCTAAAAATATATAACACACACAAAGGTAACCGAATTGCATACAATAAAATAAAGCTATTAAATTTTAAAAATAGAAAACTGTTTACGTTAAAAGATTTTAAAGAAAAAGAGAGGGTCGCTAAAATATGTATTGAAAATCTTTTGGAAATCGATAAGCTTATAAAATTATACATAGATCTACAAACAATTGCATATAAGCTATGCAGCGAGTAATATTACAAATACAAACACACCGTTAATTCAAATATTACTAAAAGTTGACAGTATTAAAATATTTATTTGAAAACGAAAAACTTTTAAAGACCCACCCTTTCGTTAACGTAAATTGAGTTAGGCCTTCATTTTCATTTCTTTTTTTTTTGTGTGCATAAACCAACATTTATTATTGTAAGGTTTATATGAATTTATTTTTTGTATTATACTGTTAAGAAAATCCGCATGACTTGCGTAGAAGAGTTTCTTCCAGGCATCTCTTCGGGGGGGGGGGGGGGGGGGGGGGAACGACCGCCCTCCCGAAGAAAGTCTACCACTCCCCCCCCCCCAACGAAAATGAAATTTATATGGGAAATATATATTTTTGACAGTGTCCGCCCCCCCCCCCCCCCGAAAATTTCAAGTGCACCCCCGGAGAAAAAAGTATGGAAGAAAACCTGATTTCTATATACGTGCGCCGCTTACGCTTGCGTGTTTGTGTGTGTGTGTGTGTGTGTGTGTGTGTGTGTGTGTTTGTGTGTCTGTGTGTGTGTATAAAAGCGCAATAGTATAAGTAATATTTTATAGCTTTGACTAACTTAAAATGTGGCAAAGACCGTGTCCCGTTGCATATTACTGGAACAAGTTTAGAACGAACTGATGAAGAAAAAATGAAGCACGAGGAATAAAGTTAAAGAAATACTTAAAATAAAACGGAATAAATGTCCATGTCTGAAAGACGGTTTGTGTTAGGTGTGTGTGTGTGTGTGTGTGTGTGTGTGTGTGTGTGTGGAGGGGGGGGGAAGCTATAAGAACTTTATGGGGATCAAAGGTGTCAGCTAAAAAGTATGACGGCATTAACGGACGAGAGTATAACCGAATTTCTCCAAATAATTCTAGGCATTTCCATAACTTTTCAGGTTTAAATTAGAAACTTACAAACATAAAACTTGAAATAAAAGTTAAAAAACTATCGGGCTTAAATGAACGGGTAAGCTTTGTTATTTTTTTTAACATATTTTTCAGCGTATTTTTCTTTACTTGGGGTCTTTCAACTGCATTGCCGTTGTACTTATCACTTGTGGCTGGCACGACTGTTACCGTGTTTCTCTACAGTTAAGTTTAGTTAGCCGCCATCAAATGGCCATCAGATCTGCCCCGCTTTTGATCCTAACCTCCTGTGAAGACTTTCCGACATGGGCGATCTGCTTCTGTCTCAGCATCCGACGACACCCGAGTATTTTGATTACTTTAACGCTACATTATATTAATTGCACAGTTTCTTCCAGGCATCTCTCCGCCCCCCCCCCCCCCGAGAGAAATAGAATTTATATTAGAAAAATTTATATTTTAAACACTGTCCTGCCCCCACCTCCCCCGAAAATTTCAAGTGGAAAGCTGCAGAGGGTTATAAAATATAATGTGGCATTAACCCCCTTGCAACTTCGTTAAAAAATTGTCAACCCCAAAAAGATGAGTAATTTTTTTTTTTACTTTCTCGAATACGAAGTATAGAGAAAGTATTGTAATCTTGCAAAAAAAAAAAATCGACGTTTTACACCACTCTGAGTCTGAAAAACATAGTTTTGCAATCTTGTCTGTATGTGTGTTACAGCTAGGTTGATAAAATTTCATATATAACTATTTATATCAAATTTGTAGTTCTGTATCAACTTTTCAGGGATTTCCGATAACCGGAAGTGGGACTTATTCTACTTTCAATTTTTCAAAAGCCTATAACTCGAGTACTATTGCAGATAGATAACTGCAATTTCACATGTAAGTAAAAGATCTAATTCTCCAATTCTCTACTTTCTATCAAATTTTGAGTAATTTCCGTTGACCGGAAGTAGTAATTTACGCTATTTCCGTTTCCTCAAACAAACGCATGTGAATTTATAAAGTACAAATAATATTCCGCACTATTATACACATTTTTGTTTGGCGTTCACTTGGTGCGCAATTCTTTTTTCTACGTGATTCTATTTTCTACGACATTCTAATTCTATTTTTAAAAGTTAAAGTAATTAAAAATGGTTTGAAAATATTGTCTATATCCCGAGTTTATTTTTCTTACTTTTTCTACAAGAAATGTCTAAGACATAATAAATGCATAATATCCTCATAAAAATGTCTCTATTTAGATACAGTATTGATATACAATTCATTAATCACATCCCCAGGGGTTTTTTCTCGGGGACCTGGAGGGGGGGGGGTTGTTATGCCAAGGAGGTTTATGAACAGACACCCTCTACCACCAATTTAGTATCATGTTGGATCATAGGTATGTTGTAGTTTAGTATCATGGTGGATGAAATGGTATGTTTTAATTTAGTATCATGGTGGATGAAATGGAATGTTGTAGTCTAGTATCTTGGTGGATGAAAAGGTATGTTTTAATTTAGTATCATGGTGGATGAAATGGAATGTTGTAGTCTGGTATCAAGGTGGATGAAATGGAATGTTGTAGTCTAGTATAAAGATGGGTGAAAAGGTGTGTTGTAGTCTAGTATCAAGGTGGATGAAATGGAATGTTGTAGTCTAGTATCAAGGTGGATGAAATGGAATGTTGTAGTCTAGTATCAAGGTGGATGAAATGGAATGTTGTAGTCTAGTATCAAGATGGGTGAAAAGGTGTGTTGTAGTCTAGTATCAAGGTGGATGAAATGGAATGTTGTAGTCTAGTATCAAGATGGGTGAAAAGGTGTGTTGTAGTCTAGTATCATGGTAGATAAGGGAGTCCGGTGGGTGGGTGAGGAGGGGTGGGGGTCGGGTCAATGTGGACGTCCACATGTTATATATATATTTAAAAAACGCAGAAAATGTTTGAATTAAATCGGCAGTTCTCTTATTTAAAAAAAAAAGACATCAGCTCAACGGCTAAATGTATCAGATGTAACTCTATACCGCCCGCCTAAGAATAAAAGCGGCATTTTTTTTACAAGCTGGAAGTGGGGTGGGGGGGGGGGGGGAGAATAGACCGCGGCGATTTTCTAAAAAAATTCAAGGTGTTTCAAGTTTATCTTTAAACATTTCAAAGAACTGAAACATAAGATTAAAAACAATTAGGCCCCAAATAGATCGTGCAACCAAATAATAATATGTATGTAACCTCTGCTTACTACCTTTAGGAAAAATAGTGTGTAAAATTGAGAGCTACGCAGCATCACTCTTTCAAAAAAGAACAATTTTAGATAGTCTTAGCACATGCAAACAGTGTTTCTTCCAGACTTTTTTTCTCCGGGGGGGGGGGGGGCACTTGAAATTTTCGGGGGGGGGGGGGGCGGTAAACTTTCTTCGGGGGGGCGGACACTGTTAAAAGTATATATTTTCTATATAAATTATATAAATTTCATTTCGTTCGGGGGGGGGGGGGGGAAGGAGCGGGAAAAAATTTTCGGAGATGCCTGGAAAAAACTCTGCTTGCAAACGGTAAGTTTACACACTGAAGACTAACGGATATCGTGGAAAGTTTTATTTTTAAAATTAAATTTCTATTAAAAAACCCAGC